TTCTTATAATTTATTAGAATTACTATTGCCCGTTGCACCAAGTACCAAGTACTATTGCCTACTTTTTTAATTTTGTAACTTAACACGAATTAAAAAAACAAAAGTAAAACTTTATTTTAAAAAGTTCTAGTGTGCGTGGCTGTTAGCGCAGACGTCAATGCCTCGGTCTTAAACGATGATTTTATTTTATGCCCTAGAACACGAAATCTTATTTTATGCAGCCTACACCCAGCGTAAATACGAACTTTATGAGTATGAGACGTGAAAAATATTTTTTGTATTTGTTTTTCAAACAAACTAGTATATCGAGCTCTATACAGGGGATCTACTCTCGTTCTCTGCCCGACATCCATCTGAAAAAAATTACAGTCAAATAAATAATACTCGACAAAACAAAAACAATGCCAAGTATGGGATTGCCCATCATGAGTATTTTAATCTGGTCGAGTATTACTTATTTCATGTATGTCACAACAATTTCGAATGGCGAACGATAGTTGACCCAGCCAGGCTGATTTTAATTCAAATCGGAACCGAACCGTTCGGGTAGCCCATCCGAGTCTCGAAATGAGATGGGTTTCCGAGCGAAAAGATGAACCTGATTCCTATTATAATCATTGTAATTTGTGAGTTAAATCAACTATTGTTCCGATTTGAAATGTCAAAGTTTCCGATTGGCCAGTTGTGAATCGCAATTACGCGCCGACTCGGAAGAGATGCAGTTCCCGATCGGGAGAGGCAATCAAAGTCAAGCTGCTGGTTCTTTAGTCACGGCTGACCCACACGCGACTTAGATCCGAACAAAATAGTTTCATTTCCAACGTGTAGAAATCGAAAAAATCTAGTAATGTCAGTACAGAGTACTAAAAAACCGACCTCCAAAGTCATTCATCCCCTAGTGTCCCACGCTGAGAGGTGGAATATTTTCTTTAAATTTAAATGGGACCTTTCCTTAGATAGCGGTCGTCGTACTCCGTTGTTACCATTATTGTAAATATACAATGCGTAATTGTCTCCATCGTGCATTATCATCGTGAAGTGACTGAATTTTTTTTATTTCAAGTATATGTTACATCCAGTTTTTGACCGACTTCAAAAAAAAGACGGGCTTCAATTAGACTGTATTTTTTTTGTATGTATGTTTTTATCGCGATAACTTCGGCATTTGTGAACCGGTTTTGATGATTATTTTTTCGTTGGAAAGAGGGCAACTCAGTATTTCTCTCAGTTAAATTTGAAGAAAACATTCCACCTATAAGGGTGATAAAGTAGGGGATAAATCCTGTTACGCGGACTTTCCGGTAACCGATTACTTACAATAAAACTTGTCAAATACATGTATAATTCCACGAATTTTTGAGGACGGTTTTTTTTGTAATCTATTCTGAAATTATTTCTAAATTCCTAATTTCAATTTTCAAATTCAATATATTTAATTTATTAATTTAAACTTTCACACATTATTTGATTTTTAATTCGGGACTTAATCACGTATAAAACATAATATATTTTAATTACCAGATAGATAGACATAGAGATCACGGACATTACAATACGTCCGAAATGTCGAGGTAATTAAAATATGTTTTATACGTGACGTACGTATTTTAGTCCCGATTTAAAAGTCAAATAATACTTAATTTAGCTTAGTCACTAGGTAAAAAAGTTTACTACATTTAGTAAAACAAACAATGTGAAGGGTCATCCTCAGCGTAACCAAACCCACACCCACGAAAAATTTCACGAAGTGTTACTAAATTCCTACAATTTCAGAGTTCATTGTAATCCATTGTTGCGGGCAAATGACAGTCATAATGAAATCGTCTCATTAAATTAATTCACGCCTGTGCAGTGCTGCCTCAATCTTGCGGTGAGCCTTGCGAGGTCTGCACGCACTGCCTCGCAAGTCTACCGAGAACAATAAAAATACCGCCTATAACTGCAACACCTTGAAAGGTACGCGAAAGCAGGAATAGTGCACATTCAACGCTCAGGCTAGAAGTTCGGGTCTGTAGGTATGTATTATTTTTTTGTACCGTGTGATCTTATGTAAATGGACATAAGGTTCAAGGCAGTCAGAAATCGACTTTAAAACACTAGTAAGAAATATAAGGTAGGTGTTGATTTAAAGAACACGTAACCATTGTTGTTTAAAGTACTTTTCTATTCCCGACCAATCCCCGCTATACTTTCCGAAATATCTCCCATAGGCACCTATGTCACACAGCCACCGAAAAATTTATTGCAAACCAAATTTCCCGATCGCATAATTTCACGAAATTCAGCCGTTAAGTGGCCAGCTCGATCATGTAATTTACCACTGCTGGATTACTTTTATGGGGTTATGTTAAAGACAGAGTCTATACGGAGCCAATCGAATCCATTGCAGCCTTAAAACACAAAATTCGTGAAGTGATTAACGAAATAGACCCTCCATTTTGTCAAAAAGTGATTAAAAACTTTGATGAAAGTTCATCCGCTTCCGTTGTGTTCGTTGCCGTCCTCGACGACAGCTGAAACGAAGTCCTCGTTAAAACAAATCTTATAAACTCAAACACAAGGTAGCTACTGTACACTATTGAGAAGTTCCTCTCATCTGTCTGCCATTTCCATCATCGGATCAGCTCTAGGTCAACGTACATTTTAGTTTCATTAGAATTACATCTGTCCCTAGTTTTACCGAAATCCTTTTAAGGAAAGTGGGTAAAATTCAATAAACCGACCTTATCGCCTATTTTGACACAGAACATTTTATACAAATTTGAATACGACTAGGTACCACTTAAGTACCCCAAACTAACAAAAAAAAATCATCGTAAATATCGGAGTAACTGCGTAACATACATAAAAAAATTGGCGAATAGAGAACTTTCTTCTATATTGAAGTTGGTTAAAAACAGGAAAACTTTTTTAATAAAAAGATGCTCAAGAATGAAAACTGACATTTGCGTCAAAAGCCATAGTTTTTATATTATTTTTACAAAACTGGAACTGGCGAAATCTTAAAAAAGCTTAGAGGATGGAAAAATCCAGTAAAAAAAAAAGCACCGCTAATATGCAAAAAGAAGACGAAAAAGAGGGAATTTTTTTTTTCCATCCTCTAAGGAAAAAAGATCTTTTAAATGTTGTCGAAGTTACCGATAAACTTCGCCAGTGTCAGTTTTGTACATACTTAATATAATATTTTTTTGTTTATTGAAAGACAACAGACAACAAAAAAAATTTAGTTTTTCATTATCTATGTCGGTAGGTACTTAGTAGATTGAAGTCTCTGGTTTTTATATACTGATTTAGTACGCGCAATTTTTTATTTCTAATGATTTTTCACAGGTTTAAAGGCGAAGTCCCAAGATGGGTACACTAATAAATAACTTAACAACATATTACCACTACGTGAACGATGAACTGGCGGGTAAGTGATACATTTTGAGGATAGTTTTCAGGTTATTTTTTATACCTAATTATGGTTGCGATTTTTATTATTTAAGTATTCGATTAATTATATTATCGTGAAATATTAAATACTATAGTCGAGTATTATTAATACTCATCATGATAACATTCTAGAATATTTCAATAATAAAATTGACGCCGAAATTAGGTATAGAAAACTATCCTGAAAATTACTCTTTGTATACAGTTGCTTTTTCAAAATATTTACGAATTTTGTTACGATAACACAAATTATACTTTCGAGTCACCAACATTTATTCTTTTAAAAGACCGAGTCTTGTTTGGCTCAGGCGCAGAATGACCACTTCGCAAAATGTCCTTCCACAAATTGTACCTTACGTAAAGTGTCCCTTTCGCAAAATGTCCCATTTTTCCAATTTAAGAAAATGTCTAAGAAAAATTATGAAAAAATAATTTAAAAAGTGATTTTATTACTGTTGTGTTTTTGGTTTTTTTTGTGTATTGCTTCTGTCCCATTGAGGACAATTCTGCCAGTGTCCGAGTTGAAAGATACACGGTTTATATCAAGATTGCCAGCAACGCACTCAAGGGAGGATGATCGGTTGTACCATCTTATGGACAAAGACAAAACACGAGGTTATTTGACTATATGACACGTAATAAATGTTATAGACGTATATAATATAATATATTTAAATAGAACAAATAATAGAAGAGATACAATGAACAGTTCAAAAATATTTGGTCAAGAGCCCCTTCTTCAAGACCATACTCAAAAAGGGAGTGCTCCCTTATCCTGAGCTTAGCAAGAAAAGTGGGTCTGCAGTTATAGCATATGCGCAATCGGATATTGGTATAAATATACATGACGACACCTATTAAAATGAAATGACATAGCTTATTTGAAGTTGACACACATACCCACACATTTCTCACTCCATCTCTTGTTTGTTTTTTCAAATTCTTTCCGTCAAAAGGAAAGGCAAAAGTTTAACACCATACAGCCAAAACCTCATGCAGTGTCTGAAATCTGAAGTCTTCATTTTCAACGTGTTGCCATTGACGACTTACGAAGCCGTAACTAATAAAACTATAATTGTTAAGCTATCCACATTTCATCTAACGGATGGATCAAAATGTAATATATTCGTCTTTTCGTATATTTTCTTTTTCTCTGATTTTGTTTACGGCAGTGGTGCCACATAAATATGATTGTACACTTTATTTACACCTTGTATAAGATATTATAATGAAAGAAAAATTAATTACCTACTACAAGTTTTATGACTACTTTGATGAAATCGTAACAATACTTCATTTGGACGTTTGTGAAAGAAGTTATACAATTATAAATTACCTATGTACTTTGAGTTCTATGAACTCTGATAAAAATGTCGAAGTTTGTAAGGACTGTAAGAGTACAGCGCTTACAGTACACTTCCCAGGCAAAACTTCTCAAAACTCTACAATGTAGAATTGCCAACCAGGGAGAATCGAAACCAAGACAGTCTTATCTGGAAAGACGATTGTCTCCTGTGGTATATCAAGATTTGAACAATGGAATCCAACAGCCTAAAAGCAGCAAACTGAACATGGATCGTAATACACCTATTTTCCAAGCTTTAATATGCGGCATAATTGCTGGTACTGAAATAAATTTAATTAAAGTCTTCAGACTTCACCAGGACATTTATACAAACTCAAAGAATGGAGTGGCCCTTCACGCACTGGCCTCAGTCTCCGAAACATCGAAAGTGATGAAGAACTGTGCAACTTTCCTAAATACTCCTGAGACGAAAAATAATTTGATTTGGCACTGGGTTCGTGGCCACTCCGGGGTCGAGGGTAATGAAGTAGCAGAAAAGCTAGCGAAAGCTGAAGTCAAGGAACTTTTCATCCGCCCCCAACCCTTCAACGGGACTCCACACAGCCTAGCTAAGCTCATCGTCCAGGATCAATGCACAGATGCCTCCCAAGACATTTGGCTACAAGCCAATGGTCTCGTAAACTCAAAAATTCTGAATAACGCCTACCGTACTAAACACTCTAGAGAGACTGTGGTATTAGGCAAGAATAGCTTCCGAATAGTGACTAGCGCTTTTGTGGAATACTGTGGTTGGAACGAGCTCAAGTTAACTGAGAGCAGAGACTGTAAATTCTGCCATGAAGCGCACGAGACATCTCTACATCTGATAAGCAACTGTTGCCCACAAATGGGCATACGAAACTCATTTCTGGATGGACATAAGCCTCAACCAGAAGGGGTAAAAATAACAGGAGGTAAGAAAATTATACAGTTTTTGAACACTGATAGCCTTGGTTCCAAGTTGTAATTGGTAGTCATCACATTATATAGGTCATATTGCTGGTTACAGTGATCTGTGTTGCATAAATGCGTCGTAGGGAAATGTCGCTGTCATTCCGTCGTTATTATTTGGTGTGCTATAATGTCAGTACCACAAACCACATAAATACTGTGATATTTACCATAGTTCACAAACTTTACGGCAGTCTTTCACTTTGCGCTTTTGAGCTAAGGTGCTGTATTTCATTAGCCAACACATTTACAATCATTGCATATTCAACATTGTTGACGTAAAATGTTGGAATGTCTGTTGATATGTTTAACATGAATATGTTAGCAAGCATGTACACTCACTAAAATTCATCTGCATAGCTTAACCGCATACAAAGTTCTTCCAATTGAAATTATTTTGTGATAAAGTGGATATCTGATAGAATAACGCTCGCTGCAAAATACGTGGATTTCTCAGTGTGACATTTTAACATAGGATATTTCATGACTTTTATGTTGACCACATCCATTAATATATTATATTATATATTGTATTTTGTTAACCATGAAACGGAACGTCCTATCTACAATATCATTATGTTTAACTTTTTAAGTATTGAAAAAAAAGTTGGGTACAATTTGTTACTGTCTACTGCGTTCATTGACATTACCCTTCTTTTCATTCAACATTTATAAAAAAGAGTAATGCCAATGGACACAAATCATTAACCGGAGGTACATGTTTTACTTTGTAAAAACCTATTAATATTCAGTATTGAACAATAGGTTCTGAGGTTAAGAGATCACAAACCTTACTACTCAAACTTATATTATAATTTGTGCACCTACTTTTAATAATGAACTATCGTCACCCGTGATGTTTTCCTTTTTTTTTATTAAAACACTACTATTCATTACCTTCAATTTTATATTGCTGCGGAGTAGTTTAAAATACTTTGAAAGTAAAAGAAATAGTAAAATAAATATTTATTTTTATCATGATATTTTAATAACATGATTTTTTATATGTTTTTTTGTAAACTAGTGGAGTATTTCTACTACTTTACACGGCAGAAAAACAGTATAAAAAACCCAATGCAACGATAACTAGGGAACATAATTCGGAAAATCCGTAATTTAAAAAAAACGGATTTTCTGGGATTTTCACTAGATTTTAAAATCGAATCCGGATTTTTTTACATTTTTACTCACGCTTTTGCAACAGAATATTGGAATTTTGTGCAACAGAATCCTCAGCAGGTTAAATGATAAAACAATTATAACATATTTTTTATTTTTTATTTTATTGGCAGTTACGAAGTGGTACCTTTTTTTATAGTTTTTTTGTTCTTGTACATTCTCTGTGTTAAAGAATTTTGAAAATGCATGCTACCCAAGACCGAGAACAATGGGAAAAGAGAGGGAGGCCTTTGCCCAGCAGTGGGATAGAACGGGTTTATAAAAAAATCGAAGGAGACTGATTTCAATTATCTATCGAAAACTAGATTAAAATTTGGTTACTATTAAACCAACACGTACGTCTTTTTTTCAAGTAAAATGGTTTTCCGAAAATATCCGGATTATCCGGATTCGCTGCTAAATCCGTTTTCGAAATCCGGATTTCCAATACGGCACGGATTTGCATTCCCTATTTGTTGTTACAAACACATGAAGAAACTCGGAAGATCTTCTGACTCGGTCTGTAGAGAGAGGTGGCCGCGGCATGGCAAAAGACAATGGTTCGAGTCCATTCACTCCTACAATTCTTCGTGTTCGATCTTTATCAATTATAAAATAATAAAAGAACAAATTGCATTAATAAATCCGACCATGCAAAAGTTGATATTTGTTGAACTCAATAGATAAACCAATTACCTTGTACCAATGCAATGCCATAGGCATTAAACATGATTTCGCAAGGAAGCCCTAACTATGCAATTCTAAATTGGTTTTATTTCCTTTATGTCCCAATTATGCGCATACCTACGCATCGTTCGATGTGAAACTCACTGTTATTATTGATCGATTATTTCAATTACATAGAATATTGGTCGGCTCTGAATCTTACAGGAAATATAGATTTTTTAGCCTCGCACTAGGGAAACCCTGTGTCGCGGGTGCCATGGACACACACATGGCCATGCAAATTGCAAATATTTCTCCCGGCCCGGGAATCGAACTCGTGACCTATGCGTGGCAGTTCAGCATGGTAACCGTTCGGCCACCGAGGCAGTTATTAAGTCTTATTCCTTGTTTAAACAAATACTTGTATAAGGCGGAAAAAATTGAATGTAAATAAACATGGGTCCGTCGGTTATAAAAACTTGAATACCCAAGAACACATGACATTTAAACCATTTATTTACACACAATAATATGAAACAGAACATTTAACAATACTAGCGAAACAACAACAGTGCGTGGAATGAACAGGCTCAGTTTAATCCTTGTGGCTGTACTGACTCTACATGCGATTGTCATTGTCAGCCTAGCCTTGTTGACTCATTGTTTTTATAACATATAACCAAATTCAATAATCAGTCAGGAATCTTTCTTTTTATGGTACCAACTGACGGGACGAAGAAGTCGTACGCCTGGTGGTAAGCGACACGCCTGTCTATAACAGTTGCAGTGCCACTCGGTACTTTAAATTGCAAAGACTTAAGGGGCACTGCCAATGCGCCCATCACCTCGAGACATAAGTTGACAAGTTCCATGTACCTGTAATTTCACCGGCAACCTTACCCTTCAAAATTGAAACGCGATATTTAATGCTCACATTAGGTACTACTTGGCGGCAAAAATAAGTAAGGTGACGGTACTTCTCTGGACGAGGTCTTTCACAAGATCTACTGCTTGTGACTGCTACCAACAAGGAATACATACATACAGACTGTAACAGTCGTTCCAATTCGAAACCGTAAAACAAATTCAAGCCAAAACTCACACAGCCATTGAAATCATAATACCTTTTAAATGGGTCTATATGGGTCAATGATCTTATATACGTAATAATTATAACTTTCATAGAAAACAAAAAACCAACCTTAAAAGTTTGCTTATCGGTTTTTTTCAACTTCCATGGGATCCCCTCATCAAATTCTGACTTGTACTAACAATAAGATAACCACGAGAGTGCACCCTTTCAAACAAAAATAAAATTCAAAATCGGTCTACAACTGACGCACAAAGCGGAAAACATACATACAACCGAACGTATAAACTCCTCCTTTTTTTGAAGTGGGGTAAACTGGGTACGGTTGAAACAAAGCACGGTTGAAACAGAGCAAATATCTTTCGAACCATATGAGACAAGGTGAGAGGTCCAAGGGGCGAATAAAGCGGACAACAAGTCCCAACACGAATCACATTGTTGCATCGCTCAACGCTCGTTGCGTTTTGAAAATCAAAAGTAAGTATTTTTGTTCGGAGATTTCTCCAATTATTATGAATATTATTGAAGTCTGACTATTGAGTGTATTTAATTTTCTTATTTTCTAGATGCTTTCGAAAGACTGCGAGGGCGCAAGTCGACGTATCGAGGTATAAAGACGCCTACGAGGAAGTAAAGGTATGAGATTCGGTGCTTGCTGCAGAGAAGCATGGAGTGAACCACTGTTCGCTTCTAAGATATATAAAAGCGAGATGCATCTTGCATCTGGCGTCAGATAGACCAAATACCGAAAATACAACAGACATGGAGGCTGTTCCTATAAGGAATACTGAACCTTGTGATTATAAAACTACTCCACTATCGCCTTATCTCTTATTTAATAAGCCACCAGTAGAGACGGTAGCTCAATAACTGGCTATCAATATTCATTAGTCCCGAGAACTGAACAAGAAAATTTTATTTGTCCGGAAACTTTGACACCACCCAGACGTCATCGCAGCAGTATACATCAAACTTCGCCTAAACCCTTCTATACGTGCTCAAACAATTCCTTCCTTAGTACTGCTTTTGTATTTATGCCAAAAGTTTATATAAGTAAGTTATCAAAACGGCTCGGCTTAGCAGTGTACGCGATAAAAAAAATAAGGAAACTTTCAGACGTCGAAACCGCTAGATTGGTTTACTTCAGCTACTTTCACAGTCTAATGACATACGGCATTTTGCTTTGGGGTAATGCCGCCGATATCAATAGAATCTTTGTCCTGCAGAAACGTGCAGTTAGGGCAATTCACAATCTGGGCCCCAAAGTATCTTTGAGAGATAAGTTTAAGGAAATTAACACAAATTAACACATAATTAAAGGAAATTAAATCACAGTACATTTATGAAAATGTAATTTATGTTAAAAGGAATAGTAATTTCTTTATGAAAAATAGTGACGATTAATACGAGGAATAAAAATAAACTAGCTTTTCTTGATAGTTGTCTTCACAAAAATTCATTTAAGGGGCAATGTATACGCTTCTATAACAAGATTCCGGTTGATATATAAAATTTGCCTTTCACGAGGTTTAAAAGTATAGTGAAACAAAAACTTTATTCTAAAGGTTATTATACAACTTCTGCGTACTTGGATGACAAAAATCCGTGGTAGTAACCCGTTTAGCTCATGGAGGTAATCTCGATCTCTGATGTTTCAAATAAAAAATAAAAAATATTGTAAATGTTATTTACAAAGAGCAACCCCTAGAGTTTCTTGCTCATTCTTCTCAGGGGAATCTGCCTTACGAATGAGCGGTAGAGTTCAACCATTGTGACGATTTCAAGTGTAATAATGCTTACCTATGAAATAAAAATTATTTTGAATTTAAATTTGAGCTATACGACCATTATCGAAAGCTCCCCGGAAAAGGCAAACAGAAGGCGGAAAACCAGAAAGTCTTCAATTTACACTGATAATCCTGAGAAAGAAGAGATTAGAAAGGACATATGAAAGAGACAGAGACAGAGGGACAAAGATATGAAAACAGACTGAAAGAGACGCAAGCTAAGCAAATTAAGAAAAGATTGATGGAGAAAAAGTAATAGAAATACTACAAAAGGGAAAAACACTAATAGGTACACAACAGGAATGAAATCATCAGAAAAGAAGTGGTACTGCCTTGTTATTTGTTTCCGTTTTCAAAGAGCAAACCAGGAGAAAACTGGATACAATACACGAATTTTATACTGTATCAAAGACGACTTATCTGAATTTTTTAAGTTGTGTGCCCTAAAAAGTCTGACAAAAATATAGTTCATTTAATAGTATCTGTAATACATTGAAGACGGTCAAACGGCGCTATAATAATTAATAAACGTGATATAATATTATGCATTATGTTTTATACATTAAATATTATGTTTCAAACTAAATGGCCTTTTTGTTTAAATTTGATCTTGTACTAAAAATAACACACCAGGCGCTAAAATGTTACTGTCCATTGATAAATAGAAACATGCTCTTGTATTTAATATAACTTCATCAACGATCGACTCATAAACGGCAATACTACGGACGATACAAGCGAAATTGTTTCAACCGTACCCAGAGTGGGTACCCTAGGTTAAAAAAGATTTCTTTTAAGCTTGGAATTAAGCAATCGTAAACATTTTCGCACACAAATTTCGCCATGGAATATTCTTTTACTGACAATACGGAACATTATTAAATCGACATGAAATTTCACATATATACATAATTTCTTTCATGCAGTTTGTATCATTTTTATGATTTTCATGTGATAAAATCGCTTTCGACTTCTGATCATATTTGGCTTTATTACACCAAAGGTACGATTTCAAATAATGTACCGTTCTGCCCTTCTTATCATAACTAACGTAATCGACATTGTTAGCGATATTAAGTTATTAACATTAACTGGAATCAGCGAAACAAGATCTATAATTAAACCCCTATAAGCCATTTTTTTATATCTTATTCAGTTTCAGTTTTATTGTTAAGCAAAATTAGCGTAATTGACATTTTTTACTAGCCAAAAAAAACTATACTAAAATACAAACGCGTTAGTTATGACGGCGAAGGACAGCGTTATTAACCTGCAATTGCTAACGAAGAATTTACACGTATTTCCCTTGTATACGTATATGAATTTCTCAACTTTGTTTCCAGATCCACGCACGAACAAGTTCCCTCTGGTATCGAACCCGCTACCAATCTTAGTGATCCTGTACGTGTACCACCGCTTCGTAAAAACATGGGGTCCTGCCTTTATGGCCAATCGACCCCCGTACAACATTAAGAAGCTCATCATTGCGTACAACATTATTCAGATTCTGTTATCCGGATATTTAGCAGTGCAAGTAAGCAAGCAGCGAAATAGGTAACCTTTAGAGGCGTTTGGAGGCGTGCAAAATTGAACTGAAGGTGCACGCAATTAGATAGAATTTATGATGTAGGTGGATACCTACATGACGTGGATGACGGGATCGTCATCCTGAAACATAAGTTAATAAGACCCATTATTATAATTCTTTCTTCTTTTTTCTGGAGTGGATGACAACTAAAGAAAGAAAGAAAGTAATTTAGACACTCATATAAAGTAAATAATTTGTTATTAATTAGTTAAATTAGTTGGAACTCTTTCAGGAATCAGGAAAAGTAAGGGCGTTTCCTAGAAAACGTACAATGAGAGAGATGAAGATGTAGGGGTCCGTAGTTTCACACTACAATACTTGCTGTTCTTTTGACATAACGTTAATCGATAAATGATTAAATCGATCACCAAAAGGAAGATCTGTCGTTCTGTCGACCAAACGTGCATCGACAGATAACGTTATCGATCAGTACCACAAAAGTAAATAGTTCTTTCGACCAAACGTGCATCGACAAATATTGTTTTCAATCAGTAACACAAAAGCACAAAGTTCTTTCGATTAAACTTGATTGGTTCATTCGTTTATTCGATCAGTAACAGAATAATCTAACATTCAGTCGACCTCACGTTAATCGACCAAATTAATTTCGATCTTATTGCGATATTGAACATAGTTGTCTATGGCAATGTCTTAAGTTATGAATGATAAGCCTCGAGCAAAAGTTCGCTGATCAGATGATAATATCCGGTAGGTGGCTGGAAATTAATGGAGCATGAAGTGCCTGATTAGACTATGCCGCTACATGTACGTTAACAAAAATGTAAAGAGGATAAATCCCTTTCTATGGTTCTTTATAAATATTGTTTTTACGGAAATTGTCTACTTACTGAGTCTTAATCGATTAATAAAAGTCTCGTATGGACATATGATCGTAAAGGTGCCTAATTCCTCACATTTCAGTGTCTGACTAAGCTATACCTGCCAGGCTACTACAGTATCTGGTGCCAGAAGATCGTCTATGAAGACACGCCTCTAGAGCGGATCGTCATCAACCGCGTTTGGCTTTACTACTTCATCAAGATAGTTGATTTGCTTGACACGGTAAGTATAGGGGTTCTTTGTTGGTATGGTGTAACGGGCTGATTTCCAGGCGAAGAAAAAAAACAATGGAAAGGGCATCAGGCTTAAAGTATCAGAACATCTGTCGCTATAACTCATACAATCATAATGTTAAACACTATGAAAGTAGCTTCTATTTTCAAAGGGTGAAACAAATTCTGGACTGATAATATAATTCAAATTTTACCCATTTGGCATATCGTTGAAATTTCGTTACATTATTGCAAGTTACGACCTTTTGATTTTATACTGAAATTTCCTTGAATATGCTGCCATCTAGCGGCAATAGCGGAAAGACGACAAACGATTGACGTTCCATCCGTTATTTTGTTTCCCCTTTTCCGCTATCTGACTCTTAAACGCCATTGTTTGACATGACAAGAATAAACAAGGGTGTTGGTGAAATTACAGGCACATGGGACTTTTCGTCTTATATCTCAGGGTGCCAGGTGCAGTGGTAGTGCACCTCAGATCTTTGCAATTTAAAGCTCTGAGTAGCACTGTAACTGTTACGGGCAGGCGTGTCGCTTACCATCAGGCACACGAGTTGTTCGTCCTGTCACTTAGTATTATAAAAAAAGCTGTCGGTCGTAATTGGTCACCTTTACCTGCATGCAAAAACAACTCTTAAGGAGGCAATACGTCAACTTTGCTGATAGGATTTAACGGTGATTTTTTTTTTTTTTTTTTTTTATTGTGACTCGGCAAAATGACTGCACCGCGCCTGATAGAAAGTGCGAATACAGTCCAGAGGTGAGAGTAACGGATGGAAAACACAAATATCTTCACTCCGTCACTATCATTATGCCGGTCTGGCCAAATGCTTCTTCACACTACGTTTGAAGGACCCGATGTTATAGAGGGGAGGGAATACATGCGCCGGGAGTTGGTTCCACAATTTGATGGTTGGGCATAAAAACGAATTGCCAAACTTTTTAGTGCGGGACGGTATTGAACTGACCGTCCAACTGTGGCAACGCAGTCCGGCACGGGTGGTCCGCTGATGGAAAGGAGAGGAAGGGATAAGGTTGAATAACTCTTCAGAGCACTCACCGTGGTACAGGCGATAGAATACGCTAAGAGACGCTATATCTCTGCGAAGCTGTAACGACTCCGCATGCTCAGTTACATGAGGATCGTTGACAACACGGAAGGCGTAGCGCTGCAGTCCATCTAGGGCATCGAGCAAGTACTTGGCAGAGCCGTCCCAAAGGTGCGAACAATACTCCGTGCTGCTTCGGACCTGAGCTTTATACAACAGGTATCGCAGCTCTGGAGTAAAAAATCGGTGCACCTTGTTCAGGATGCCAAGCTTGCGCGACGCGGTACAGATGACGCTCTCGATATAATCTTTGTTGCTCATGTCCTTCCGGATGCTCATCCCCAGCAGGCTGAGCTTGTCCTGCAGCGTCAGCGTTGTACCCTGAAGATGGGGAAGTGGAAGGAATGGGGATTTTTTGGAGCTGAACGCGCATACCTGGGTTTTCTTGGCGTTGAACTCAACCAAGTTTCGGGAGCCCCACGACGATATATGTTCCAAAACATGGTTGAGCTCATCGACAAGTTTTTCCCAGTTTCTCTCAGGGTCCTCCCGGGTGCTTGACGATTGCTTATAATAGCAACCGTGCACTGTGCTATCATCTGCATAGCAATGAATGTTGCCAAAAGGCAACAAGTCATTGATATGCAGAAGGAACAGCGTGGGCGACAGCACGGAGCCCTGTGGCACCCCAGCATTAACTGTCACGAGCCGCGAAGTGCCTCCGTCAACAAGGACACGCAATCTTCGCTCGCGCAGAAAGCCGGAGATCCACTCACAAAGGCGGCCGGGAAGACCATATGCCGGAAGCTTGGAGAGGAGACCACGGTGCCAGACCCGATCAAAGGCCTTAGCAATATCCAGACTTATCGCTAAGGTTTCGCCCTGTTTGTCGATAGCTTCACCCCAGAGATGCATTAGATACGCTAGAACGTCACCCGTTGATCGGTTCGGCCGAAACCCGTACTGTCGATCATTAAGAATGGAGTGACGTTCCGGATTATCTGGATATTTAGAATCCGCTCCATCACTTTGCAGAGCACTGAAGTGACAGCTATTGGGCGATAGTTTGTCGGATCAGACCGATCTCCTTTCTTGGGGATAGGTTGCACGTTGGCCTCCCTCCAAGCTAGGGGCACGTTACCAGATTGGTATGAGAGGCGGTATAAGCGCGTCAGTACGGGAGACAACTCCGCCGCACACCTTTTAAGGATGATAGGAGGTATCCCATCCGGACCATAGGCTTTCCGCACGTCAAGAGTCTGCAATTCCTTGCGGACATCACATTGTCTGATAACTATATCAGGCATTGTGACTCCGCAGTGGGGAATTAACGGCGGTTGCGCATCTTGGTCGTGAATGCGCGAGTTAGCCCCAAAAAGGTCGGCCAATAAATTGGCTTTCTCTTCGGGGCCATAGGCCAAAAATCCATTACCTCAAAGGCGGCAGCGACGAACGACAAAAATTGGACTGCACAGCTTTGGCCAGGCTCCAGTAGGCACGGCTACCGGTGGGATGGGCTACCAGCTTCTGGCCAATCCGTGAAACGCGCTGGGCATCCGCTCCTACGTAAGCCCTCCTGCAAGACTTGGTTGCTTTGTTATAGGCTGCTTTAAGGGACGCAAGGTTGGGATCCTTTGTTACATGACCCCTGATCCAACCACGATATGCAGCCTGTTTCTCACTAACAGCGTCCATGCATTCGCGATTGAACCAAGGGCGTCCTCTGCGATTGGCGATGACACTGGAAGACGGTATGTAGTAATCCATAGCCGTTCCAATCTCATCGACAACAGCATCGGCAGCTGCTGAGGCATCCTTTCCCGCAAAGCAGTGCTGCAACCACAAACAAAGCAACGCAAAGTAGTCGCGCATACCATCCCAATCCGCCGACGAGTAGTGCCAAATGCGACGAGTGACCTCCTTCAGCTTAGTTGGAGGCATTTGGGAAACCTTACACCCAACCAAACAATGATCAGAACTTCCCAGGGGGGCGCTGACTGATACTGTATAGTAGGTAGGGTGACTCGCGAGCAGAAGGTCAAGCAAAGAGGGTGCATGATCCGATATGTCTGGAACCCGGGTGGGCTGGGTTACCAGTTGGGTCAAGTCATGCGAGAGAGCGAAAGCGTGGGCAGTTCTACCTGCATGGTCAGTCTTGAGGGAACTTAACCATGATTCATGGTGAGCATTAAAGTCCCCCAACACTTTTTTTTTATAATACCAAGCGACATGACGAATAAGTTATGGGTGCGGTTCGTAATATATAACAACAAATGACATAGTTTTGGTTGATATAACACTCAGCAGATATAATTAATTTATGGTATAGAAAATTTGATATATTCTTGCATGATATAAAGGTCACTGGGTGCCTATAATAAACGATTGACATAACAACTTTCAATCTAATGTACCGATGGCATAATGTTCATTTTATATAAACACTTCAGTCATTTCACAACATTCACTGAGTATAATGTATTATAAATATAATTCTAGTGGTGTTTAGGTGCAATGGGGAATGAACCGAATTTGTTTGCATTTCCTAGTTGGTTCAACCTCCTCCTGTGGGTTTAGGTTAGGTTAGTATTTGACAAAGCTGTACGAGCCGAGCAAACACAGTGAGCGAGCCGCGGCAGCAGCCGGCGAGTGCCAGAACCGAATTTGTTTGCATTTGCTAGTTGGTTCCACCTCCTCCTGTGGGATTAGGTTAGGTTAGTATATGCAATTAAATATTCTGCTTAAAGTGTTAATATTTTATACACAAAAAGCACTTAAAGCCAAATACAAAAACAGTTACATTTTGCTATTGTACATTTAATGAAACAAAAAGAAATTCTTATCAACATAATATAAGGCGCTTCAACTATTCGTAAAACGAAATATTTTGTTATATCATTATACTGGTAGTACTTATACCATTTGTTCATTATGTCACCTAATCATTATATCTAATGTTTATTAAACACATTGAAATTATTCCTTTTGTTGTTTATGTATATAATCAAGTTAGTGATTATATCCTTCGAAATTGTATCAAATGTTGTTATACAAAGTGAAAATAGATTATTTGTTGTTATATCTATCTTCCATTACACACCCATAAGTTATACGCCTGGTGGTTAGCGAAACGCTTATCCATGATAGTCACTCCCACCAGCAGCTTGATTTCGATTGCCTCACTCGATCGGAAACTGCGTCTTTTCCCGGTTCGAGGCGCATAATTGCGGTTCACAAGTGGCCGATCGGAAACTTTTGACATTTCTAATCGGAACAATAGTTGATTTAATTCACAAATTAGAAAGATGTAGGAGGAATCAGGTTCATCTTCTCGCTCAGAAACCCATCTGATTTCGAGACTACCCGATCGGGTCGATTCCGATTTGTATCAAAATCAGCACGCTGATGCCTGATGCTAATCGCAAAGACCCGAGAGCCACTGCGATAGCGATCATCGCCATGAGCCCCATGTGCCTGTAACTTCACCAGCACCCATACTAGCAAAACCGGAACACAGTAATCCTCACGTTATTATTTAATGGCATTCTTACATGAACGAACAAAAAATTGCCAAAAAATCTAAAAATTTTAATTTGTTCAAAAATTTGTGTTTGTTGTTGTGTTTAATATACATGCAGTGTCCGAACTGCAAATCAGGGGGTCTACTCTCGATCTGCGTCGGACATCCGTCCGAAACAATTACTGTCAAATAAGTAATATTCGACAAAATTAAAAGACAAGTATCAAGTATGAAGCTTCATTCGCAAAACGCGTCTTTTCATTTGGTCAAGTACTGCTTATTTGGCAGTAATTGTTTCGGACGGATATCGGACGGAGATTCCCACTATGGATGACATACAGACTTAAGTTTCGATCGGGGCTAGAGCTGTATGTAATGAGGATTTGACAGTTTCGAACAGCCCCCTCTTTTCGTTGACGGGCTTCGAGACTCTAATTCCGTAGGTCGTCCGTAGTGGGAAACTACTTTTTTATTTTTAATACATTTAATTATTATCAGATTATGCAATGCAACATATATTATAAAAAAATATTAGATATTTTTACAAGTCTTAAATGAGCTCAACACTGAAATTGTTGTTATGTGTATTAGTTCGAATTTAAAAATTATCCAGATTACATCTATAATTTTCCTGGAGGATTAGACTTTTTATTGCACATCACTAAATTAATTTGTCCATTCACCTCTGGCTTCATAAAAACGTCATTAAAGATGACCATAGTATTATGAAGCCATATTATACTCAATTTTTATAGGTAGGTACTCATTCGCCTTTTGATAAGTAATTTTAAAAAAATAATCAAAGTTGCAAAGAATATTTTGCAAAATTATTTACGTAGGTATTCATGTGTTTTTTAATTAGATTTTTTTAGATATGGTCCCGTGAATTAAATATTAATGATAATTAAAAATAAAGCCATTCTTATGAACTCTATTAGGAAAGAAAAAACTGATTATATATTTCGTTAAATAAATAATTAGAAAAACTTACTTAAAAGTCCCTTTATTAACTTATTAAAAATCTCATTATTTTCAATTATATTCATTAAAAATATTGTTTTATGGAGGTGCCTACATGTAACTTTAAATTTTATATGTTGTTATAAAAATTATAACGGGCTATAGACTTTCGAACTATTTTATTGGTAGGTCAATGGGTGCTATAAAAATAAATACATATCAAATGAAAACAAACAAATTATGCCAGGAATATATTTAATCTGTAAAAAATATGTACCAGTCAACCCTCCTGTGGATGTATGTAGTTACACAGTGGTGAGGGTGTGCTACCTCATTTCACAAAAAAAAAAACCTGAATTATCTATACATACACTACATATTATATAATTTATTTCCTTGTGATTTCTTGTGTTAACATAAAAAATACGTGTTTTCAAATATTTTTTATGGTAGTGGGCAAGGAGTCACAAAGTTCGGGAACCTGTGATTCGGAAATCTTAAATTCGTAGCCTTGGTATAACAACGCCAGATGTGATCACACATCAGATAAAAGTTCTACATGTTTTTGTTAGGGATAATCTTAGGTCAAATAAATAAATAAATTAAAAATGTAACATTCAAGGTAACACTATTATGTTTAAGCATACTAAATTAATATTTGATATTCAAAAATAATATTTGACCCTCTTTTTTATTATTGGTCTTTTCTTTTAACGATTGATGATATTTATAACCTTTGATTTATATCTTTTGAATATTGATCTCCTAATAAATCTTGGTTGCTTGATTGCGGCCTCCAGGCGAGCGCCAGAAGCCAATTTGCTTGCGTTTCCGAACATGTTTTCAGGTCAAATTATATTATAATTAATATAATATTAGTATATAATCAACATTTACTTAGCTTTAAAAACAAATATCAAAATTTTATTTTTAATGCTCATTTGTCTTTGTTTTGATTCCCAACACAAAACTTTGATAAAGTTAATTTATATAAATATAACTTTTTTCGCGTAGCTCAGAACAGATTCAAATATTGGTTGATTTAATTTATTTTATGTCTCAGAGAAAAAGGATCATTTTAAATACTTAACCTTATATTTTTTTTATTTTATATTTTACTTATACCATAAATAATTAGATAATCCATAGGTAAAAATCTTAAGGTTTTATATTTCTAAAGATAATGTTTTATTGTCTTACAAAAATGCATAACCTTCATCCAAAAATCTTGAGGCTGTCCCCTTGATATTAACTTTAACAAAGCCACTTGTGATCATACGTCAAAAGCTTTTATCACATGAATGTCATAAAATTAATACGAAATACATGAAACAGCCCCATATCTTTCTACATTAGTTTTGATTATAGTGACTCTCCCTACCGAACCTTAGGGTCCGGTTATTATACGAGAAGGGCACTATAATCACCCAGTAAACAGGGTTGTCACAGACCACTGTCACTTGACTTCATCCGGTTCTTTGAGAGTCTAGTGCCTCGGGTGAGCCGCCTCGGGTGCACGTACAGTACCCTCCCTATTTTTCAGATAGGTACCGGAGCTGTAGGCACGCTCATTTGCTGTTGCGCATTGCACAAATAGCGGTTGCCACCGCCAAACCCTTTTTCTTTTGGTTTTAAGGTCTTAAACGTACAAATAAGTTCAAGCAATGTCAATAATTATAAAATCACAGAAATATTTAAGTTAAATGCAACAATAACGATGTTTTAGGTCACACGAATGAGATTGCAGTAACACGAATGATTTTCTCGTAAACATAAATGAGAAAGACGGCACAGTAATGAGAAATTATTATTACAACACACATTTTATCGTTCACAAAAGAACATTTAACAACATTTAACATGTAACAAATATTTTTATATACCTTCTTGTATCAAAATCCTTCTCATCCGTGTAAGATCATCTATCGATCTATATGTAATTAATAAATAAATCTAAATAATTATTTTGTTAATGTCATATAAAGTTTGTAGTACATCAATATATCATCAACACCACCATCAACATCATCGCCATGATCACCACCATCATCATCGTCACCACTGTCATCACCACCAGTATCACCATCTAATTGTTATATTTCAAGTGAATGTTTGGCTTATAGTAACTATTTGACTTAATAGTAGACAAGAATGAGAGCGACAATAATGATATTTGGACAAATTTTTTATTGTGACCGTTATAAATGTGCATGGATTTTAAAGTTCCCTTTGTCTAATTGATGTACACAAAGTTTATAAAACTATTACTTAATACTTATTTAGATAGATTGCTTTACTTGAATGAGAACTATTTAATCACTAGCGCTGAAATTAGTATTTAAGACGATTTTTTGCTAAAGCGGAGATGCACAGGTTACTTCACTGTATACACTCCAATCAGACAGAAGCCCCTTCTCACGTGTGCGAAGGGTGAAGGTGATGCGGTATGAATTTATGTTATTAGGGGGCTTTTAGTTGAATTGACACTAATATAAGAAAAACTGAAACACATTTTGTATTCCCAAGAAAACATGTTTGTTTATAATAAATTGTAAAGTTACGGTATGTATTCGACGTGTAAGTTATTAGAGTATATCCTCGATGGGAAATATTGCGATTTCCACGAGTGTTTAACTTTTTTCTTCTTTTCTTAAAATTAAGGTGACGTGGAACCGGCTCCCATGAATGAGAAATGGCCCACTTTTTTAATTTTTATTTATTACTGTGACGTAGTAAAGTAGTCTTTTTATGTGTAACACAGACAAAGTAACCAACCATCATATTAAATAAATAATGCTTAGCATTCAAGTAATAACATAAAAGTTATTGAAAGGGACACATTTTTGGAGGTTATCTGAAAACGACCCATTCCGGTTTTGAAGGGTAAGGGTGCTGGTGAAATTACAGGCAAATGGGACTTAAACTTACCTCTTACGGTAACGGACGCAGTGTCAGTGCCCCTCAGATCTTTGCGATGTAAAGCTCTGAGTGGCACTGCTACTGTTATGGACAAACGTGTAGCTTACCACCAGGTGCACGTCTTGTTCATCCCGTCACATATTATAAATTTTAATTTGTTGTTAAAAGTTGTCGACTAAGTAATTTAATTCGTAGATTCTTTACACCTCCCTGCTGAGAAGTTGCTATTTTGCAGATGTGGCCTGGACATCAAAACAGGGTTCGATATAATAGTAGTACTTTCTTTGATTTTAAACGATTTTTTTCCTTTTTTTGTCAGGTGTTCTTCGTGTTGCGAAAGAAATTCTCCCACATAACGTTTCTACACGTCTACCACCACTTGGGCATGGGCCTGCTCGGCTTCATCGGCACCAAATATGTACCAGGTAGACATCTGTTTCACGTATTAGAACAAACTTTTCAGGGAAGACACAGACCGACAGACGGAGATACTGTCCACCGCGTGGCAAAGTCGTAGATACGTTAAATTGTACTTACCCTATCAATGATTACAATTGCTTCATAGTTTTACAGATACGGTAGTAATTCCTGTCCATTTACATAATAGCTATATATTGCAATTGATTCCGTGTGAGACGGAAGATTTAGAAGTCTCTTTTTTTTATGTAGTACACCGCAATTGCGACGACACGCAACGCCCGTGTGGCATCACCCTAAATTGGCCATTCTCGCAATTCAGTGTTCTCAGCCTATCCAATATCATTAAAATATAAACAACTTATGCTAAACTAAACTATAAATATATCTAAATGGCATTAGAATAGACAAAGCAGGTAATTTTCGAGTTATTAAATACAAATAGTTTATGGAAACGGTACTTAGAAATCGTTATTTTACATGAAACATTTTTAAGATAACATAAAAATTAAAATTAAAAATAACAAGTAACAAATAGGGGAAAGGTGTACGAGATGATTCTCGGAGCTAAGATGATCCTTTTCAATTGTAGCGAAAGTGGTAACGGCATCTAGATATTTTCTTCGGTAAAATGTGTGGTATCAATATCTCGTCAGTCAATTCTTAATGGCAATGTGAGTGACGACTTCATTTTTGGGGAAAAAAATAAAAATTGTGTGAGTTTGATCTAAGGTAAAGTTGATTAAAAGCTTAGGCAACTTCCATTCTAAGCAATCAATTGCTAAGATTTTTGTGTTTGTGGCTTTGTATAATGCTCTATTTACTTTTTGAATAGCGTGGTAACAGTAGACAGCATACAGGTTATTTTGCCGAACAAAAAATAAAAATAAGTAAGTTGGGGCAAGATGATTATGGTTTTTGGTGTACGAGATGATCCGTGGGGATCATCCTGTACTGTATATATTGTTAACGGACTATTTATAATTTGTATGTCTTTCTGAGTACTGAAACCTCTTCATTAAATAAATTCAATACGAATAAAATAGTAGAAGACTGGATTTCGTTTACATGATCAATCTCGATTAATAACAAATATAAATGCTTTTTCGTGTTTTAGACCAGGCTGCGTAATTGTAAAACAAAAACTATTCGTGGTGGGTGGTCGGAAGACAATGATCTAAAGAACTAGAGGCGTAAAAAGTAGGACACCATATAGATCAGCAAGTAAATAGTTCGCAGTAGGTACGCGTTATGTCATTAAGAGGGAGCATGCCAAAAAAGTTTTGACGTTGGCTCCGCCCAAATTTCTGAAACAAATATATGCCTGAAATTCGCATGACATGCGACAGGAGATGTTGAATTTGGTAGAGTTCCTGGTTTATATCATAACATATTTGGATATACTTTATGTTGACGCGAAGTAGTATGTAGTATTTAAAACTCTTCAATATATTCATACTACGGTAACAGAACGGTTTGAATAGGAATGGCAATGGTAGATTTTAAAAGAATGGTCGTCATGGATTATATTTTACGTGATCTGATTACACAAACAGTATTTCGCCATCCAGGATCTGGAATGGCACTGGTGTAATTCATGCCGGACCGAAATGAGAAGAAATTTACAGACAAATTTAGCGTACGGACAGGCTACGGTAATTGGAGAACATGGGTTTTGTAAAATAAAATAAGTATATCATAATTAAGTAAATGATAATTAAGTAGCAGGGCTAAAATCTTCAACATACCTCTAGATAAAAGTAAAAACTATTAAAAAATATATTTGAGGTTTTGTTTGATGTTATTCTGGGACAAGAAAGGCCCGCACATATTGATCTATTTTTATTTTCGAAAATGTGATGATCACAGTGACTCGATAAATTTAAAATATTTAAAACAGTATGTTCTCAACGAATTTAATTTTTATAATAATAATGCAGTTTTAATACAATTATTCCATTAATTTATAAACTCGTAATTATAATTATATAGATATTCGATAAAGCAAGCTTGGTAACTTGGTATCGCACTTAATAAATGATTTTGTTATTGATAATATCAACATAAGATTCCAAGCTACAATTAACATACTCACCTTGCCAGGTCTGGTTTTACTTTATGTAAAAGATATTCAACTTTATAAAGTCAAGTACATAAAATAGGTAACAACGGCCTCACGACGTTTTAATTTAATAATAAGGTCCTTTAAGTAGATAACCACCGTGAGACTCAGACATAAGGTACCTATTAACTAAACCATAAGTTCCCAAACTTTTTGGCTTACCGCCCACTTAGGCAAGATAAAGAAATTTCAACACCCACCAAGTTTATATAGATTATTCAGTTATTTTTGCAAATGCGGTAGCACTGGACAGCATTGTCGCCCCCAGTTACTTCCGAGGCCCCTACAGCCCCCTAGGACTCTTCTACGCCCACTGGGGACGGAAGGGATCACCTTAGGAAACTATGAACTAAACTAACGGATAACTCATGTATTCAAGTCGAATTTTTGCTCGATATGGGCCTGTGGTCTTTAATCAGTCGAGCAAAAATTCGACTTAAATAAGTACATGAATTATTCACTAATTTACTAAGTAATAATAAAGTCTTTTATAATATAACAAAAACCTGATTACGGATAAAACCGTAATAATATGCGCTTCCTAGCTTCCCGTACCTATTTGTAGATTTTTTTTGATGCCACGCCATTTTTTTATGTTTTGGATCTGTATACCATCCTATTACTTTAACCTCCTAAGACCCAGCAAACTACAATAGGATAAGCTCTAAACGCTCAATGAACATTAAAATATATTAGGTATATATTATATTTAGAACATATTTGAGGCAAGAAAAGAAGAAAGCAAGAATACTCTCAATTTTGTATAAAAACACAACCGGGATTTTATACACTGATGACCCTCCATGGTCAAGAGTATCTATGTGACCAGTATAGAGGTGTAGAACTAAATTTGAATGCGATATTTTCACTCTAAGCCGAGCGTCTACGTGACCATAATAATAATAATATTGTCTAGGTCTGACTGAATCACTTGTGAAGTTTTTGATTTACACGAGATCTTATGAAATTAAAAAATCATATTAGTTGTATCCAAGTGCTACTGGAAAATCTGTTCCTTTATATACCTACCTAGGCTTCCGCGCGATGTTGTTCTTCACCCTTCAATAAGAAATACCTAATCTAAAATGCACATAATTCAAAAAAAATGCAAATAGAATTCCCCGATTCCAAATAGAATCCTAACTGAAAACCAACTTTGTTTCAAATTCATATACCATTTCTGCTATAAAATGTTAATTCAAACACACACTTTCGCGCAGGTGGTCACGGTATTATGTTGGGCTGCATCAACTCGCTGGTCCACACGGTGATGTATGCGTACTACCTCATTTCCATCGTAAAGAAAGAGTGGGTGCGCCATTGGTGGAAGAAGTATATCACACAGCTGCAAATAGTGAGTAACCTTACCATATCATTGCAAACAACTAATGTCTACAATGTAAGTAAGTACCTGAAAATGACAAACGTGTGGCTCAACTCAACGTCTACAACACATTTAAAAATAAGATCGCAAGATTTTAAAAAAATATCTGGAAGATTTTAAATTCAGAATGATAATCTATTTTTAAACTCTTTTTAATTTTGGGGACATTATAAGCCGATAATCAAGAATAAATGCCAAAAATAAAAACTTAAAGCCCAGGCATTTTATCAAATATTCAAAGACGGAGTAACATAATTAAATAATTCTATATAGTTCTTTCACATTGCATTTTTTAATAACGCAACGTCGTGAGTGTTTGATTCTGATCTATACAAAAAAGTTAAAGCACCAACAATATATGTGACTGCACCAGAGTCTCAAGATAAACATTTAAGTTGTTGTGTAGGAATAACACCGGCTGCCACGTTTCTCGAAATAAAAATATTATTTCTTATGCGAACATGCTGAATACTCATTATTATAAGGCAGATACCCTTGAGGAAGAGCGCGAAACCTTTCGAATCGAAATATCCTTCGAAATAACAACTGATTTCTATTTATCGATTCCTGGAATTTGGTATTTATACATGATTAAGGTCGTCGTGGCGAAATGTTAAGCTTTCTAATTCATGTTCATGTCTATTCCCTCCTATTTAATAATACCTGACCTACCAACAAACAACAAAGATCAATGCATACAGTGTTATTATTTATTAAATTAACAAAACGGCATTCCTGACACTAAAAAAACACCTTTTATTTGGAAACTCTTTCCACTTTTTGAAACTAGAATCTTATCCTTTCCATAATATCATTGCTTTCCATCATCTTTACGTACAAAATGACGAACAGCATATGATGTTTCAATAGACATTCGAAACGTTTTGTTCGAAGTTTTGAAATTTATAGAACAAAAAGATGTCGGTAGGTTTTTGAGACTGGACCTTCGAGATTTATTATTCAAAATTTTGAATTACACGTGTCTTAATGATTTTGTTTCCTTTATACAGCTTCAATTCGTACTGCTGATCCTTCACTTCGGTCACGTTCTCTTCGAGCCGTCCTGCGAGTATCCCAAATGGGTCTCCTTCGTCTTTCTGCCCCACAACATCTTTATACTCTTTTTGTTCTCCGATTTCTACATTAAGGAATATATTTACAAAAAGAAAAAATAATTTTGTATCTACGTTAATTTAAGGGTTTTTAGTAAATTATTTTAGAATTAAGCACTGAGTTTTATTTTTCATCCTTAGAATAATAACGCATAGAATGATAGTTTCATAAAAAACGAACTGTCACAAGTGAGGCAAAAATCAAATTCATGTAGGCGTAAGCAACTTGTATTGACGCTCGTCGGCACGCACACAAATATACAAATAATGATGCCATGGAATAACATTTCCCTCAAAAGTGCGGAAATTGTATCTTGCTTAACTCATCGTTAAGTTAGAGGTGCCTACAGATTTGCTTGATTTTTGTCGATCGTTACTGTCGATCAGGTGCCTACAGATATGCTCGATTTTGTCGATCGTTACTGTTGATCGACAACGTCAAGTGACAGGAATTTTCAAAAATTTATTTTTGGTAATCCTTATGGAAATGGCATTTATATCTGAACACACGAAGTCGGACACGACTTTTCTCATTTCTAAATCTAAGATGGCGGACACGTCTTTTCGAATAAATGCAATATGGGAATCGTTTTCGAGGTATTCGAGGTGCTCATCACGAATATGGTATTTATTTCTAAATCCAAGATGGCGGACATGACTTTTGAAATAAATGCAATATGGGTATCATTTTCGAGGTATTTGGGGGTGCTCATTACGAATATAGCACTTATTTCTAAATCCAAGATGGCGGACATGACTTTTCAAATAATAGCAAGTTGGGTGTCGTTTTCCAGGTATTTGGGGGTGCTCATTAAGAACATGGCACTAATTTCTAAATCCAAGATGGCGGGCACGATTTCTCGAATAATGGCAAGTTGGGTGTCATTTTCAAGGTATTAGGGGCTGCTCATTCCGAATATAGCACATATTTCTAAATCAGACACAGAATTAGAAGACAGAAGAAGAAAGACAAAGAATTAGAAGAAGAAGAATTAGAATTCTTGTCCCCCATCTTGTATTCAGATATACATGCCATTTCCTTATGGTTTACCAAAAATACATTTTTGAAAATTGTTGTCAACCATCTTGGATTTAGAAATTAATGCTACATTCGTAATAAGCACTCTAAAACTCCTCGAAAACGTCTGTAATTCTCAATCGTTACTGTCGATCGACAATGTCGAGTAAATCTGTAGGCACCTTATTAAATACTACCCAATTCTTATTTAACTCATATATGAACAAAAACCTACAAGCGAGTTTAAGTGCGACTATCGAATTTGAATATATAAATAGCCTGATATTATCTGTGGGTATGTTTACATGAAAAGTACACGATAACAATTAAGAACCTGAACCTGAAAGTTATTTATACACGATTTTGGAGAACTGACGATGACTTTTTAGTCAGCGTTAGTTTCCTGAAATAATTTTAGTTAAGAACTTTCGAGTCTGGGCAAGACAATTTTTTAAATGAGTGTATGATGAACAAGAATAATGATTTTTCACAAGAAACTAATGAAGGCAAATACTAAATATATTTCGTAAAAATAGCTAACGTAAATTCCCTACAATGTTGTTGCGGCGGTGTACATTTGTAGAAATTTTGCAACCGTCGCGATATTGCCTATTCTCAAAAAATTACGTAATATAATTATTTTGAAACAGAATAGCAAAATGGGGAGAAAAAACCCGTTACTTTGCAACATTTTCGTATCTTGTTGCAACGAAATTAATTTTCTGTTTTAGTGAATATTTACATAAAAATACAAGTTGAAACGCGTTACTTCCTTGTGAAATGTGATGTTAGTGTCTATTTTATATTTGTCTGATCTATTTTTAAACCCAATTACCGCACATTTCGTCATTTTTAGCAAAAATTTTTGAGCTGCTCGCGGTGCAACTTGACCTTGAGCACTGACAGCCCGCTCGCTCGTGTAAGCCCATAGGGCGTCCTACAATTTGCCTCACTTAGCGTGTGCGGGCTAGGTTTCTATGCGTTATTATATTATTCTAAGTTTTCATCATAAATGTCTAAATATTGACTTTGATGTGGTCAACAATCATCGATTCCAAATAAATTTTCACAACTAGAATATTATTGGTTTAGGATATGCACATCAGCCCATTGCAAGGCACAGGTCTCCCTAGGTTTGGCCACATTTAGTAACCTCCAAACATTGACTTGACAAAATTTCGTTTTCGTCGTTATCACGATGTTTCTTTTATTAGCGAAACCTAGTAAAACCGTAATGCAATATTTTTTCAAACGTCTAATCTGTTATCTTGCTTTTTTATTTTAGGTCTAATTTGAAAATAAAAATTTGTCAATTGTCATTTTTTTATTAATTTGTTTTAATTTCGGTTTGCCGAGTGGCTCCATGATGTTGCGTTATTGCTTTCATAAACTTCACTTGAATTTTTTTTATTCAATGTTTAAAGTTTTGTCATTCAATTTGAAACCGTTCTTAGACTATGAAAAGCAAAGGATATCTTAAATTGACATATCGACACGTCTCAAGCAAATAGTCGTAACCCATAAAAGCAATATTTGGAGAAACAGACATTTAAACTTTTAATCTAGGTTTATGCGGTTCATACAAATATTACAGTTATGGATGTTTCTAATTTTGTTGTTTAAGAGTCTGTAGTATATTTCGCAATTATTAACATAAATTAGAAAGCCGTATTTGTGGAGAAAAATGGGAAAATTTATTTTTACGACCATTTGTTACCCGTGCAAAGGTCGTAACTTAAGAATACGACTGTATGCGTGGTTTAAACTTTAATTATAATTTTAAGCAAGGTGTCGTATGTAAACATACCGCTTTTTGTGACGTTACATTTGACTCATATTACGGGGTCGTATTATTGAATTATAAAAAACAATCTTTATGAGAATAAAAATAAGTTTTGAAATGAAAAACACACAATCACTGTTCTTAGTTATAATTTAAATGTAAATTGTAAACATAAGACCACATTAATTATTATTAATTAAAAGTTAAGTCCAGTAGCAAAAACAACCTTTAGATTTTTTGGCACTAGTACTAAAATAACAAAATTATAAATATTAGTACTGATTCTCAAAAAAGGTTTTTTTTGCTTTTGGAATTAGTAGCAGTAGAGCTTCTTGTGAAACAGTTCATCCAAAGAAGTACCTACTGCCACCTTACCTATTTCTGTCGCCAAGCAATAATGTTAGCATTTCTTTGTTTTAATGCTAGCATTTGTTAGCTGCGATCCGGTTTTGAAGGGTAAGGGTGCTGATGAAATTACAGGCACATGGAACTTTTGAACTTATGTGTGTGTACTTATGTGTCAGGGTGATGGGCGCTGTGGCAGTGCCTTACCATCAGGCGCACGACTTGTTCGTTCCACACTTAGGGTCGTATTCTAGAACTCTACTCAATGCTCAAGTCAGGATTTGAGTATGGTTTAAAGCACTCGAAACCATACTCAAGTCCCTGTCATTAGGGTCGTATTTCCAGTGCTTGTGTTGCCAGTGCAATCCTGACTTGAGCATTGAATAGAGTTCTAGAATACGACCCTGAGAGTCGTAATCTAGAACTCTACTCAATGCTCAAGTCAGGACTTGAGTGTGATTCAAAGCACTAGAAATCATACTCAAGTCCTTGTAATTAGGGTTGTATTTCCAGTGCTTGAAATCATATTCAAGTCTGCTCAAATCCTGACTTCAGCATTGAGTAGAGTTCTGGAATACGACCCCTAGTATCATAAAAAAAACTTACAATTAATGAGAATTAATGTGATCTAATGTTTGTGATTTAGACTCAAATTATAACTTCGTTAAATGATTGTGTTTCTTATCAAAAATATTCTATGGCTACACTTAAATATTTTTTTTATATTAAAAATTGCAATGACTATTGGTAAGATAACAAAATTATAGATATTATTAGTAGTTTAAAAAAAAACTAAAAGGTTGATTTTGCTACTGGATTGACGCCCACACTCATATAATAATAAATGGCTACACTTTAATTTTTTTTAAGCACAAGTACATAAAAAAGGTTGCTTTTGCTACTGGATTTAATTTATAATTTATAATAATTAACGTGATTTCATCTTTGTAGTTTAGATTTAAATTATAACTTAGATCAGTGATTATGTTTCTTACCCAAAAGATTTGGTAGCTACGTTTTGATTTTTTGCTTTAAACATTGCAATAACTGATCAGTAAAATAAAAACGTTATAAATGTTAGTACAAGTTTTAAAAAAACGAAAGGTTGTTTTTGCTACTGGACTGAACTTGTATTTATAATAATTAATGTTATTTCATCTTCGTAATTTACGCTTAAATTATAACTTAGGACAGTGCTTTTTTATGTTTTTTTTTTCGACATTTATAAATTCGTCATTGCAATTTTTTAAATAATAAAATTAAGTGTACCCTTCAAATATTTTTGGTAAGAAACACAATAACTGTTCTAAGTTATAATTTAAATCTAAATCACAAACATGAGATCACATTAATGATTATAAATTGTAGTTACATCCAGGGGCAAAAACAGCCTTTGATTTTTATTTGAACTTGTATTTATAATGTTGCTTACCAATCAGTCATTGACATTTTCAAAATAAAAAATAAAATAAAATGTACCTATCAAGTCATTTTGGTAAGGCATAGAATCACTGATCTAAGTTATTATTAAAGTTTGTGGTTGTATTTTGCCGAGAACTAATGTCATTGAGCTTGGGGTTTCCAAGTCGTAGCGGTAGTAAATGACATTATTCTGAAGATGAGTAACGGCAACTTCTTTTACCAGGATCCATGTCCGTTTAGGGCTACTACAACGAACTTTTGGAACATCTTTAACTACTTTTCAGACTTGAAATTGAATTTAGACATCTTAATTTTGTACATGAGTGAAGTTGTATTAAATTTTGCCAAATTAGAATCATCTAAATCTATCTTAGTTGCAAAAGAACAATTGATAATTTATATAGATTTGCACATTCCTACGTTTCCACAACACCAAGGAGAAATGGTGACTCTATAAATAAAGATTAAAAACGTAAATACCTAACATATTTATGTAAAAGCTTTTTACTAATGAGAAACCTTGATTTTTTTTGTTTAACATTCACATTATTTAGTATTTATTAAAATAATAAATACACAAAAGGTCGTAAAAAAGCACAGCCGTACATACAGTCGTATCCTTGATATACGATTTTTACAAAGGCAAATTTAATTTATTGAATGTAGATAATAGTCGTAACAGCAAATTACGACGTTCGATTCAACTATTTAAACCACCAAAAAGTCGTATGTTGTTGGGTTACGACTATATGCGGCGGATTATGAAAAAATGTGAATAAATTAAAAACTATAGTGTAATCATTATTTGGACCAATAAATATTTGAAAATCTAATATTAGACAAGTGCTATTAAATTTTGGTCACTTGAGAGATGTGTTTGTCATAAAAATAGATTGTAATTTAAATATTTACCGGCACCTTGAAGGTTATTTTGTTCCAATTAATAACTATTATTACGTTTAAAGGTTAAATTTAAAATGTGAACTGTCACTAATCATTATTGTAATTAACTACTAGTACTTTAAACCACTAAATTGTTTGAAAATATTATTTCTAATAAAGAATACGCGCAACAAATTTTCAATCGGCGAATCGTCGTAACGTTGGAGTTGCGACGCATGATTGGTCGAGCGATCGCAGAGTACTTCGTCGCATAACATCGTTTTTGTAATTACGACTGTTTGCGCGGGAACGGTTTGAACATACGACGATGTACCATTCAAAAACTCGAAAACGGCTAACTTTTTTTCAATGTTTGTTTTAAGGTGTAATTTTTAGCGTTTCATTAAGTACGATTCGCAAAAAACCTGATTTTGCATAAACAATTAATTACGACTGTATGCGTGGACGCGTCGATATATAAATCAGACGTTATCTGAATTTGATGCATTTAGCCGGTGAAAACATAAACATTTTATTGCCTTTGTTTAACTACTGCGTGCCGTCGTAAGTCAAAAGAGTTAGCACTGCATTGATTTATGTAAAACACGGGTATCGAAAATACGTAACATCATCTTAAACGCCAACTGTCCTCATTTTACCATTTTTGGAGTACATACCCTTGGATACCTGCATCTGGTTGTCAAAGGGAAGTACATCAAATGTCAAAACCAATGTTTGGCCAAATGTTTTATTGAAATGTTCGCATGAATAGTAATGAAATGGACAAAAATATTGACAGTGAGAACAATTATGTATTAAGTATTGATAAAAATGCGTCGCTGCAGCATTCAGGGGTGCGGCAGACATTACATCGGCATGTGTTATTTTTCTGCCTATAAATCATACAATAGCCGAAATATCTCATGTAATTAGACTCATTTAAGTAGTTTATTCAATATTAGATTGCCTGTTTGTTAATATATTTTGATGATTGTTGATAACGATTATTTTGAGATAGTGTTGTTCTTGTAAGCAGACATATTATCGATATTCTGTTATTGAAACAATTCACTACGAGGTTTTTATTATTTCATTATTATTATTTTTAAAGTTTACCTACATATGAAAAAGAAAGAAAGAATGGTTGGAAATTATAGGACTGCCGAACATAAACGTTGGACCAAATACCATCTTCGTTTGTTCGCTCCATTCAAATTTAAATAGAACTTTGAATGTAACTAGATTGCATGATAATGCAGTTCCATCGTTACATTTATTGGTAAATAACTTTATATTTAATTTTGATTAAAATGGTTCATTACTTGCCTAGTAATAATAGCCTAGTATTAATCATACTTTGATTACAGTAAACTACAGAAATTTACAAACATAAAATGCGTAACATCAGTTTCAACATTCAAACCATTCATTTGCATGACGATATTGACTTATCTATGATTATGGTACAACACTCAATCTGCCATTTGTGGTGGACATTTTTGGTTTAGAGAACGTTTATTCCGTAGATAAGGCAGCTCTTTTCCTTTATTTTTTTTCCATCTTCTAAGAAACCGTTACAAGTTTTTAAATTTTTAACTATTTCTGCTTTGTCACATCATCTAAAAACGCATTTATTTGTTTAATTTAATTTTTTTTCATTAAACGTTGAGTAAGCCGATGTTAAAATATGATGATACATTTACTACTTTGTCTAATTTTTATTTATTTATTTAAAAACATTATTTATTTTACATAGGTACCTACTCACTCTTTTTTGTTCTGTGTTTGTGTACATATAGTTTTAGATGAAAATCCCATTCACGTCCGAACACTATGGTCGCGCGACTCGCGCGTGGTAAACCTTGTCTGTCAAACAGACGAGCGAATCTAATTCTAAATATGGCCACCATGGCCACATATGGCGGTGGTGTCGCTGTGGACAAGAGGTAAAGAGGCGGAGATGAGAATTAGTCAAATACCATAAGCGCGGAAATACACGTCCGATTTCGAGTATGATAGTGGGTTCCGACTATTTGGTCGTATTCACTCAATCCACGTCCGGTTCTTTCGTCAGATTTTTCTAAACTGAAGGCAGTGTCACTAATTTGTAGGAAATTCCCCAAATTGCTGGGCAATTCAACTCGATTGGAGATTTTGTGGAGATTTATGCTGTGTGGGGAAAATGCGGAGATTCTAGCATTTAACCATTTTTAAATCTATCGATTACTGTTTCATCGCTAGATTGATGATTACTGATTTTTTATTACTATTTCTATATCACTATTTATTTATTTGCTTATGAACGATATTGATATTTTTTCGACAACAGACATGCCCCGCTTAAATAACAACATTTATATACAATTATTAGCTAGCTACTTACATAAAATTATCCTACCACAAGCGTTTAATGACTTTGTCCTGAATTGCAAAATTGAGATGATGATCAGTTAATGCGTGTGGAGCGTGCGACCGTTTCTCTGGCTTAGGCTGATCCTCGGTATAAAAAAAAATCAGCTATTGCCAAAGAAAGCCGAACATTTGGTACTTTCACACCACAGCATGCCACGCTTGTCTAGACTTAATTGAACTTTTGAGATCATTTCTAATTTTAGCGTAGCAATATAGATGGTTACATTTTTCTAAATGATTTGATTTACTTTTGAGCGATGGATATATAGCCGTAAAAATAATAATATAATAAGTATGTACTGAGAATGAATAAATATTATTACATGTGGGAAATATGATCTTTGCTAACCCCAAAAGGTAAAAACCTTGATTTTTGGGGGTGTTGATAATTAGCATTGGCAACGCTGCTGCAAATCAGAGAGGGAAGAATCAAAGAAGAATCGGACGTGTATTTCGTCTCCCCTCAAAAATATACAGAAGCGCGCCTTCAAACAAGGACACCGGCACAAAATCCGACGCTATATCCGTCTCAGAAGTCCGGTCCGCCTATGTGTTCACGAACGTGTATAGAATGTTCAAACGAATGCATGGTATAGTCAAGAGCACGTCAAGCTTGACGCTTAAGATTTAAATCCACCTCTATGCCGCTTACGATAGGAACGGTCCAAAGTCCAAACTGTCAAGCTTGACGTGCTCTTACCTGTACGAACGCATTCCGATAGTTGGTTCAGCCTATCGGATCCGACTATCGGATGGAAAAATCTGTTAAAAAGTCTGAAAGTGTGAATAGTTCATTTAAGATGGAAAAAAAAATTGTTTATGCATAGTTCAGTTGTTAATCGCACATCGCACGCCTAGATTTACTGTTTGTTATTCGCCGTAGTATCTTCTCCTTAGTCTGTGGTTATTTGGTACAAACACAGAAGCCGCGAGAAAAAAGCGAAGCACATTGAAATTACGTTAAGATACCTAATTAATATCAGTATAAGTGGATGTAAAAATTGCAGGAAAGCAAAGTTCCATAGCATTTCTCAGTAAACAATAAATTAACCTAAAATGGCTGATTCGACAGTAGCCGACGTTAGCAAAATGAAGGTAGTCGATTTACGGAAAGACTTGAAAGCACGTGGACTGTCATACGCTGGGGATAAAGCTGAGTTAGTGGCAAGACTGCAGGCAGCCATGCAACAGGATAGTAACGACGAGCATGCAGATATCAACCTGGATTCTGACGAGATAGATTCGGATGGGGTACTCGACGAGGACGATAGTAAAAGTCATAATGATTTTGACGACACTGCCGTAGAAACACTCAGTGAAGATCTAGTGCTCGCTGATCAACCTCTGCCAGCCGAAAAGCCGGCCCCGGATCCCGTGCCTGCGAGCGAGCCCAAACCACGGACGCTTAAGCGAAAAATAGTAGCTCCCGACACCAAGGAGAAAGCGGAAGAAAAGGATCACGGAAGCAAAAAAATTGTCCTAAACAGGGCTATCTCTCTCACATCAACTCAACTTGATCTTGAGTTAGCAAAAGACATAGAAAAGAAAAGTGTACCATCTGATGAAGGAAAAATAAAGATTACTGCTGAAATAGATCCTAAAACGAAAATGGAATTGAGAGCAAAAAGATTTGGTCTACCTGTGAAGATGAGTGATGATGAACGTAAAGAGGCAAGAAAGCAACGATTTGGAATTAACAGCAATATTACAACATCGTCCAGCATTCTTGGTGGAGGCACACTTTCTGAAAACATGGACAAATTGAAAAAACGAGCTGAGCGATTTGGCCAATCAGTGTCAAAAATCATGACCGATATTGAGAACAAAGAGAAACTAGAGAAACGAAAAGCTAAATTTGGAGCAAAATGAATTTGGCCTTTTTGAATTTAGATTGTAAGAAATGCTTAATTTAAGTAATGGTTATATTTGTGACTGAACATGATTGTATTCTATACATGTTTGTTCATAAAATTGGCAGTTTTATGCCACTTAGATAATATTTTACATGTAATTGGGACAATCTAGTGAATTCTTTTGTAATACAGTCGGCATCAAATGGTGGCAATGAAGACTTGCTAAATATTATATAGAACTTAATAAGAACCATTTAGTTACTTAATAACTAAACAGTTCTCAATGTCATCTTGTTGGTCAAAATCTTGCATGAAATATTGAGGTTCAATCAAATACTCAAATGACAACAATCACTGCTCCAATTGTATCCAAATGGTTGCATTGTCTAAAAATTGTAAAAATTTCATTTGACTGATTGCAAGAATAATCCATTTCAATGCTTGGGCTTGTGTGTATGAATGACACTATGACAACTACAAATAATTTGTGTGTTACATTGAACTTGTAATTCTTCAGTTTCCAGCATGGATGTTAAATGAAATTTCTGTTTTGTAAAATATGTTTTAATGGACAAACAGTATTCGACTTAAAATAAATGGCATGGTCAATTAACAACAACTTATGTTTATTAACTGGCAAGGTAAGGGAAATTAACAGTGTAAAAATTAAGAACTTGATTAGCATCAATAATATTAAACAAAGTATTATTGTTATTAGGGTGGCTTTATTCAGGGCCTATGCATCCCCTCATCATTGCGACCATTGACTGATCTATTGTGATCACCACTAATTAATAAACAAATTAACTTAAAACTTTCTCCTATTAATTGTTTTGTTTATTGAAGTAATAGAGAAGACCCTGTTAGTTATTTTTGTCTTTGCTTATTCCTGCTACATAATAAAGCCGAGATAGAAATATTTCCATGGATGCTTAAAAATCAGTTTCTATCAAACTACACATTTATTCCCAGTACTTCCATGTAATTATGAGGCACTACTACAATGCAAAAGTTCCATACATGGAACTAGTGGGAATTAATGTTTTATCTTTTTCCTTCCATACATAGTGCAATGCGTTCCCTTTATATGGGATTTTTGGTTTTTTAACAGACTTCAAAACAAGGAATTCCTAATTTGTCTGTTTTTTTTTTTCTTTTTATGGTTTTTTTGTATGTATGTTATGCGTTAACATTAACCGCCATTAGTGAACCAATTTTGATGATTCTTTTTTTGTTGGAAAGAAGGTACCTCAGATGTGGTCCCATTTAAATTTCAAGTAAATATTCCACCTATAAGGGTGGGAAGCTAGGGGATGAATGGGTTTTGAGGTCGGTTTTTTAACCGGAGGTTAGGTTATCACATATTGATCTACCTAAATCACATTCTATATGTATGTATAATGTATAAAAATGAATGTTTTTTTGTCTTGTATGCATTCCGTTATTATTCATTCAATTGCAGTGAAACGTGAGCTGCCCACTACCCCAGAAATATCTGAACTTAACCATTTTATAATATCAAAAAGCCAGTTATTCAACAAATGTTTGCAGTTAAAAAAGCAGTGCCTTGCACTGCCATTGATATACATTCTCCCAAAACAATATTACACCTCATACATTATAAAATTGTAGTTATGTTCCTTTTGACTTGAATTTTTCATCTACTACTTGTGCTTTTCTAATATCTCTACTCTGAATCACAGAACGGTAACTCCTGGAAATCATTAACAGAAATATCAGTTTTCACATTAGAAGTCTCTCCTGCTTCAATTTCTTTTAAAAAAAATCTTGAGGTATATGTATTATGCATTGCATATAACTTTCTCTGTGTAAACTGGCCCATCTCACTGCAGTAGCTTTACAAATATTTTTTCTAAATGCCATACAATGCATATGTTTGAACTTTTCATACTTAATTCTACTAAATCCTATATTAGCCAAAGTAAATTGCCAACATTTCATTATTTTGGAATTAGCACCAACATGTTTTGAATCTGGTGTGTTTACCAATAATAAACCACCAGGTTTCAAGATCCTATATGCGTTATCACAAGCCTTTAACCTTAAGTCAGGACTAGGAATGTATTCAAGGAGAAAACAGAAAGTGACTGCATCAAAATAGGTGTCACATAACTGTGTTACTTTAAAATCGGAAATATCTACTTTTGAACCAATTGAGACATTTAAAAAATCACATTCATAAACTGAATTGTTTGCTGGACAAAGATCAATAGCTAATACATCTAAAAAATTGTAGATAGAAAAAGGATTATAACAGCTGCCTACATCACAAAGTTTTACAGGATCTGAAAATGATTCTTTTTGAACTATAGTCATGTTTATTTTACTAGCTATGTCTATTTCTTTTGATCTATATTTAATAAATGATTTGTTTACAAAATAGTCGTAGAAAAAGTCTGCGTTCCACTTTATTCTTGACACAGCTTCACTAGTTTCGCTATTGGAATTCTCTGTCCAATGCGTTGTGGCCAGTTTCTCCATGCATTGAGCGTAAGTCTTTAACGTGCTTTTCTTATCGCAGTGTTCTTGCCACGCCTGTTCCGCGCCAAGTTTGTGCGAAGCTTTTCGTAAAGACGAATGAACTTCTTTCAAGTAGTGCGCTAATGATTTATGTTCTTCACATGCCATAATGTTCTTCGTTACTTTGCTCATCTGTGTAAAGAAAGCTATTTAACTTTAAATCCGTACTAACTTATTTTAAAAGTCTTGGAACATTCCGAAAACTTTGAACAATACACTTTGTTTACGCAAAGAATGGGTAACGTGGCATCTAGAATTGTAATTACTTATTTTTTGTAACATAGCCTGCCTTTTTAGAATTTCGCCAGCGTCAAGTTTGTGCATTGAAATAGAAATAGAATTACTAACAC